CCCGTCTCCCTCTGTCCCCCCTCTCCCCCCCATCCTGATGGGTCCTGCAGCCTCCTCCCCATGTGACCATGCTCCCCCACTCCCATTCAGCCTCTGGCTCAATGCTGTCACCCCACTAGCTCCTGAGCCCATGCCCCAGTTTGTCGTCCCCCCCACTAGCCATTCTGAGCCTCAGTCTGTAACACAACACCCCCCTACCCCCCCGTAGCAGCACCGTATGCCCTACTCTGTCCTAACCTGGCTCTGTGGGCAGGGTGATGTGATGAATTTCTACTCCTGGGGGAATTCTGTTCCACTGCGCGTGCACAGACTTTTTCCCCCCAAAAGAAAATACATTCTGCCCCAGAAGTGCTGCAGTTCTGCCTTTTGCCCACCAGAGGCCACCATGGCGCTAGAACAGCCAATAGCATTAATGCAGCAGGCTGGTGCCACATGGCCTCTGGTGGGCAAAAGGTAGAACTGCATCACTTCTGGGGCAGAATGTATTTTCTGTGGAGGGGGGGGAATTCTGTGGGCGCGCAGTGACGCAGAATTCCCCCAGGAGTATGCAAGTGCAACCCAGAATGTAGCATTCAAGTTAGAAAGCAGCATTCTTTTAAATGCTGGTATTCTATTGTAATGCCAAGGTCCCATAGGGGATGTACTTGAGATATAGAGCAGTATTAAGGAGCATTTTAAACCAGGTGCCTGATATGATAGACTGAAATGCTGGTTAATGTGTGAAGCCTTAGATCCCTGCGCTAAGCAAAATGTCCATCTAACAAAATATCCCAAATAAAATAGTTGAGTTCCAAATAGCTGAAAGTTGCAAGTGGCGAAAGTTCTGAAACGTGCATCCAGTGTGATAGCTACAGTATGATTATAGAATTGTGGGGGTGTCCATTCAGTAGACTGTGTTTGATAACTATATTTGGCTTGTATTTCACTTGTCCGCTGTTTGACAGTAGTCTATGTAAAACTTGAATATAGCAATGAGCATGTTTGAACAGATTGAAAGTGTGGATGACAAATTAGAAAGTAAAGGATATTCTTGAGAGTCAGCTCAGAATTTCTTGTGCATGTTCAGATTGGCGTTGCAGATTAGAAATTTTCCATAATGATCAGGTTAAATATTCATACCACCTAAATACATGCAGCTCTTGTTTCATAGGTGTCAAGGTATCTTTTAGAGAAATATCAGAGGGGTTGCCGTCTTAGTCTGAATCTGTAAAAAGCAACAGAGGGTCCTGTGGCACCTTTAAGACTAACAGAAGTATTGGGAGCATAAGCTTTCGTGGGTAAGAACCTCACTTCTTCAGATGCAAGACAGATAGATACAGTATGATTGCATCGGAAGAAGTGTAGGTTCTTACCCACGAAAGCTTATGCTCCCAATACTTCTGTTAGACTTAAAGGT